GGAGTAGCATCTTCAAAGCTATTCCTCCGGTGAAATCAGGAGTTATTAAGCGAGTGGGTACTAGTGATTCTATATCAGTATGGTCAGATGCGTGGCTTCTGGATTCACTTAATGCTTGGGAAAGCTCCACTATGCCATCTGATTGTGATATTTTTACTGTTAAAAATCTTATATCAGAGGATGGACTGCCATGGAAGAGGGAAGTGGTAGAGTCACTATTTAATGCCTGCGATAGAAGCTTAATTCTAGAAGTTCCATTGAGCTTTGAATGTAGATCTAATGACTGGATTTGGCTGTTTGACAAGAGCGGGAGTTATTCGATCCATAGTGCGTACAGGAGTTTAACTGCAGACAAAAAATGCTGCAGCAGCAAGGCTTGACATGGCACATTTTTTGAAAAGTCTGGGCTTTGAAGATACCCCTAAGGTCATAATCTTATTATGGCACATCTTTAATGGTTGTATTCTAGTTTGAGCTAGACTGATTCAATAAGGTTTGGATATTAATGGTGCTTGTCCTCTCTGTGATTATCAGCTGGAAACTTTGATTCATATGCTTGTTACTTGTGAGTTTGCAGTAATTTGTTGGAGTTCTATTTTGCTAGGTGTTGCAACCTTTCACCAGTTGCATCAAAATATCTCCATAGAAGAATGATTGAGTTCTGCAATGCTGAATTATGGTACAAATGAAGTGGAAAAATTGCATATGACTCTGTGGGTAATATGAACCCATCACAACTCAGTTCTTTGGAATAATGTTGACACCCCTGCTGTGACTTTATTATCTCAGGCCCACTCTTAGCTACTTGCTTGGCAGTAAGCCCAGCTTCATACATCTGTCTCGCCTGGCCTTCAACCATCTGATACTGTTAGATGGGTAAAACTCTAGCAACGTTCCTGAAATGCAACTGTGATGCAGTTGTGCATCCAACGTCGCCTGTTGCAGGTACTATTTGGGTACTAAGAGATGAAGATGGGTTTATGGTGAATGCATGTTAGCTGTCTTTATATGGTGGGTTTAATCCTAAGGTGGCAGAGGCTCTCTCCTTTAGAGAGGCACTGAGTTGGGTTAAAGGCAAGGGCCTTCAACGTGTGGTGTTTGAAACAGACTCTCTTCTTCTAGTCCAGGCGATGCAGCATAGTAAAGTCAACACCTCTTACTTTAGTTGTTTAATCCTAGACTGTAAGGCTCTCCTTAAAGAACTTCCTCATTGTTCTGTTGTTTATGCTAAAAGATCAGCGAATAAGGTTGTTGATCTTCTAGCAACTAATGCTTATTTTATGTCTGATTTGAAGGAGTGTGGTCCTATCCCTCCTTCTATTATTGTTGGTTCCTTGTTGTTTGATTTATCTTAATGAAATATGTAGTATTGCCTTTCAAAAAATAAAAAAAAAAAGACGGAGAGAGAATAAAATCAACAAATCTTCTTTATTTTAATTCACGTGTATTACCTCCTATAGATATCCTATCTATGAGATTGTCATTTCAATCTATGGTGGTGATAGGGTATATGGTACTATTCTACTCTAATTACTTTCATTTCGGGAAGCTATAGTTGAAAGGAAGCGCTTAAGAGGTCTAGCTTCTTGGAGGACTAGTTGGTTTATATAATTTCTTATTCACCTTTACAAGATTGCTTTTTATGTGCGTATGAATCAACAAAGAGACATTTGTTATAGGAGCATGATAGAAAACTGTTGTGTCTTATGATTGCTTTGTCAACTCTGTTGACGGAGTACCTGTGGGTCCCGTATATGTATGGCACAACCCAAGAGGGGGGTGAATTGAGTTTTCTAAAAATATAAATTTTAGATTTTAAAACAAAATTCAGAATTCTAAGTGCAGCGGAAAAATAGAGAACTTGTGAGAATAAATTATGGATTAGAACTACCTCACAAAGTTTTATAAAAAGACTATGCAAAGTGGAGCTATTAATTAGAACTGCTTCACAATGTCTTATTCAATATTAGAACTTCTTTATGACAGAAAGCTATTGTATTTAGAGCTTTCTCATAAAGTTTAGAAAATCATATAAGATTGTGTGAGAGACAGTTATTGAAATTAGAACTGCTTCACAAAGCTTTAATCGAGTTTAGAAAACTGATTAGAAACCTAAGTAGTGAAATATACTGTAAATAGAACACAAAGGCTTTAATCGAGTTTAGGAAAACTGATAGGAACCTAAATGAAAATATACTGCTAAATAAGAAGAACAGTTTAGAACTTGGTATATTCACTTATCAAGAATTCCAGAGGTTCTAAAATTCAGGAGAAGATAAGAACTTATTTCAGTTTTAGAAACATCAAATCCATTAACAATCTTAAGCATTTCTAAAATTATAAACAGAAGTGTAAGTAAAGCTGTATCAAAGCAAAAAGCTTCAGAAATTAAAAAGGTATTAACACCATGTGATTATAGTTAGTGCGGCACTAACTTCGCCTGACATCCACCTCCCCAAGGACTCATCTTGAGATCCTCAACTATGTTATCTCTTTTTCAAGGGTTAAGACGGACAAACCATAGTACAAGAACAATCGATCAACACCTATATTCTACCCTTTACTCCCACTAATTTTTCCAAAGGTTCTTAGTTAACCTCAACTCTTTCTGTTTTTGAACAGAGTACAGAAACTCAATTCAAGATATTAGAATCTCTCTCACGGAGAAGGTTGCTTGATAAACCTCTTTCACAATTAGCTTCCTTACCTAAGGCTATTACAACAATTGTTATCAAATAAGCTATTACACAATTGTTTATCAAATAAAGACCTGTCTACTAAAGATATCAGAATCTAAATAGACAGACAGAAATGCAAATATAAGCACAGGAAAAACAGTTTTTCGGATTAGAAAATCGTTTAGAACACAAAAATGTTTTTCAAAAGTAGTTATTATAAAAATTCTTTTCTCTTTTAAAGATAAAAACATAAAAGTATAAAGATGAAAAGAAAAACAGGGGTAGAGAGTAAGTTTTGAGAGATAAAGATGTAATCAATAGGTGAATACTCTTAAAACGAAAACTCTTTCTTCCACACATTTCAAAGAGTGAAAAACTCCTTTTTATAGAGAGATTTGTAACTCTCATTTTTAGAAAGTGGATATTTCTTTTTGTTAGAAAGTGGATATTTCTTTTTGAAATCAGAATATTTGCTTTCCTTATTTAGAAGATACGAAAATCTTAGTTACCAAAAATTTGTTTTATCCTTTTGGTAGGAAAATAGAAGACGATCTCTCTTTCCTTAAACATAAAGATTTTCGAAAGCAATTTATTTGAGAAATATTTTTCGAAAAGATACTATTTACTAAAACGAAAAAAATAAGATCTTCCTTCGTTTTAGGTTAGAGAATAAGTTAAAATTCTTAGATGTTCAAAGAGGATTTCCGAAAAAGAAAGCATAAGGTTTATTACCAAAATCGTTAGAGACATAATCTCTTTAATTTTAGGTAATTGAATCATTTCGATTTCTTAAAAGGAATTTCGAAAACAACTTTTTGACGAGAAGATTTATTTTGAAGAATCTAATTTTTCGAAAAAATTTTTATAAGAGAAAGATTAATTTTTGTGCTTATAGATGAATTTTCTCTCTATTCTACAATGAATCCTAAAGACCTAACCACTAGGGTCTTCGGATGTCTTCATAATTTTGTAGGACTTGCCTTGTTCGTCTATTTCTTTCCATACGTATTCTGCATAAAATATTATTAGCACGAATAATATAATTTAAATTTATTTGTTTTGTTTTAATCATCAAAATTCCGAGATTAGAATTTGACCCTTGAATTTGTTTTGTTTTAATCATCAAAATTCTGAGATTAGAATTTGACCCTTGAGCCATCAGTATCATCTTGCTTTTGGAGTTGCTCCCAACTCTCACACTATGGTGGAGGAGGCGCCATGAATATCTAGGAGTGTGAATTGTATGAACTAAAAGGCTCCCATGTTGTTCTAAGCTTCAAAAATACATACTTCCTTAGTCTCTTTGTTTCTACTCTCACACAAATTAATGAAAAATGATTAACATAATTATTTTTGAAGGCAATAATTAATATAATTTAAATAATTAATTTTACCCATATTTCTTCTAATATCTCCCATATTGATATTAAATGTTAATTTCAACAAAGAATGAAATAAAAAAAAGAATATTAAATAAGAGTATATTAAACAATTAAAAAGTTAATTATACTTTCAAAAGGGAAAGTAACCTATAACTTGTGACAAACACAAAATGAAAACAATTTCATCTTTTTAAGGATGGATCGAGTATTTCTTAGAATAAATTTATGTTTTAGCACTCTAAAGTTTTTTAAAAAAATTACATTTTAAACCCAAAATTCAAAAAAAAAAAAAAATTCTTCACTTTCTACTAATTTTATTCTTCATGTCTTCAATCAAAACGATAAATCAAGTGAATTGATAATTGAGCAAAAAGTGCATTTCACTCGGTGATTATCTCAAATCACAAATTGATTTTCTTCTCTCTTATAACCAAAACCAATGACTTTAATTTATGTTCGGAAACCTATAAATTCTAGACCCGACATGATTGTCGGTATTGTTCGAATACCCACAGTCTCTCTCGCCAGCCACAAATCATAAAGACGTCATCATCTCCATCTTTCACTTACTGCAATTTCGATTTCAATTCCTTCCATTGTGGAAGAAAGCTAAAAACCATAACCATTTCTGCTCTAATAACCACAAATACTTTATTACCAATAAATACACAGAGACCTCTCTATCTCTCTATCTATGTCTATAGATCATAGATAGAGAGATACACAAATATAAAGTGGGTCCCAATCATTCTCAGCCCATCTCCTGCTTCTCCACCTGGTTTCAAACCGCGTTATAAACAGGAGAAAAACATAATTATAATAATAATAATAATATTTTTATGTTGTTAATTAATCTTAATTAATAACAATATCCATTTTGTTGGGTTCTTCTTAGCCTCCACAAACTAAATAAAAATCCAATCTTTTGCATTCAGAAAAACTCGTACACTTGCCATTCTTTGATTGGTTATTTCATCAAAATCCTAAATTTTATTTTCCTTTCCTAGGATTCAAACAACCTAAAGTGACGTTAGGAACACGAACCTAAGTAAAGCACATATCATTTTCACTTCTGCAACTGCTTGGAAGCCTCATGGATTCTGATTCTAATTTCCACATCTATATATACATATAACCAGATGACATTATTCCTTACCAGTTAGCACATTCAATTCAAGCAAAAAACTTTCTTTAATGCAAGAGCAAACCAGTAGCCAAAGCGGTACCCCATCTATCTATAGAGGGGTACGTAAGCGAAAATGGGGGAAATGGGTATCGGAGATCCGTGAGCCAGGGAAAAAAACCAGAATATGGTTAGGGAGTTTCGAAACGCCAGAAATGGCAGCAGCAGCTTATGATGTAGCGGCTTTGCATTTCAGAGGACGTGAAGCTAAGCTTAATTTTCCTGAGTTGGTTAATGAGCTTCCAAAGCCTATAAGCTCTAATGGAGATGATATTCGCATGGCGGCCCATGAGGCTGCTATTCGTCTTAGGCCGCCTGAGCGAGAGGGTGGCAGTGGCGGTAGTAGTGGTGGTAGTAATAGTAATAGTGGCGGCTCTAGCTCGACCAATGTTGTCGGTCCGGTGACAGTTAGACTCTCGCAGAGTCAAATTCAGGCTATTAACGAGTCTCCTTTGGATTCACCGAAGATGTGGATGCAAATGGCAATGGCAGAAGAGGCTATGATGTTCTGCAATGATTTTGAGGACGATGAATGGGATAATATGCAAAATGATTCACTTTGGGATCCTTAGGTAATAGAATATTCCTATATAACACTAATTACTAATATAATATTTACGTTGTTTTCTTTTTTTTTATATTTATTTTATACTAATAATTTGTTAACCAAAGTCCTAAATATAGATTTGTTGTTTTGTTATATTGTGCCTAATGACAAAAATAAAATGTTTAAACTTTATTGGTTTTATGTACTTATCACGAAATTTTTAATTTTAGTAATTTTATATGGTATTTTTAAAATTTTATTATGAATTAATTCGATTATTTTGTTGACATGGTATGCCTCATGTCGTTTTCTTAAAAATTAGGTATGTTCTTTGATATAAAATATATTATAATATTATTTTTTTTTACATAACATATAACCAAAAAAAAAAAAAAATAACCAAAAAAAAAAAAAAAAGATTTAAAGAGAAAAAAAAAAAAAAGAGGATTAAAGAGTTAATAATATTAATTTCTGTCTAGTTGTGTTTCGTTCATATACAACAACTAATTAGGATAGATTAAAGACGCTACATGCATAAAGGTGCCTTTTCTGCATATCATCTAATAATAATAATAATAATAATAAGATTTATTTTGAGTAATTAAAAAAGGATTTTTAAAGTTAATTATATATTGGTGTTTTAGTGAAAATTCTCGAACTCAAAGTCTTTTCATTACGAGATTTTTCGCTAATTGGATGGTTGTTATTGAGAACAAAATAAATATAGTGATGGCACTGTTTGATGGAATAGTATGTGAAGAGTCCATTTTCTCCCTTGCTTTTATAAAGGTAAAGATTTTGGCTTGGCCAATAAATGAATTGATTTGTAGTGGAAATTGTAAAAGGGCCACTCTCTCTCTCTCTCTCACTAGCCTCTTTTTTTTTTTTTTTCTTTTTTCTTTATTTTTTGTCATTTTGTTGTTATTATTTTGTATGCAATGTACCAAAATTGTATTCTTCATTGGAATCGGATTTGTTGTTCTTAATGTTCCCTATTTCTCAATAATACTATAAATATTGCTACTATTATCATTTGTTTTTTTCCATAACTATTGAGGAGACTTCTTTTTTTGGTTCAACTAATGAAGAAATTATAATATTATAAATATAGTTAAATTGATATATTTTATGTGATCCACTAATTAATAATTATATAGTTAAATTAAAATATAATATCAGAAATAAATTTAATTATATTTTATTTTATTACTCTTAAAATTAAATAATTAAATAGTGATAACATGAGTGGTTAACCTAATAAAATACTAAGCCCAATATAATGCTTGAACAAAATTTATTCCCCAAATATAGAACTCTCATCCGCGATGTCCAATTCGACGAATGTAATGCGAAGATGTTGGATAATAATAAATGGTAAATTATAACCGTACTCTTATATTTTATCGACATTAACTACTTTATTTTTGTATTTTTTTTTTGTAAATACACTACTATACTCTCATGTTTTTAGTCCGTTAAACACCGTTTCCTTCCCGTCCATTTTATGTACTTTAGACATTAAATTATTATAAAATAACATCAATGACCTTAACTAAAAGACAAAATCAATTTTGTTCTAAAATCAATTTTTTCTCTTGTTGGAATATCATCGATGCTACTGCCGCGGTGACCGAAAAACTAGATTATCTCAAAATCTTTCAACCTCACCACCAAAATGATTAAAATCTTATGAGAAACCCAATCTTTAAGTCCATTTTCCTTTTTAATCACCAATTAAAATTGATATAAAAAAAAAATTCTTAATCCCAAAACTTTTAGAGAGAAAACTTGTTCATATTTCTTTCTAAATTGAATCATAATTTTATTATTATTTCAATAATAACAATAAGGAACTATAAAGATTTCTATTACCATATTAATCACTTATTCTTATTCTTATTTTTCTTATTTTAGAGAGATAAACTAGAGAGAGAAATTGTATAATTTATATTGTTCTTGGCTTCTGCTTATTGATTCATGCACAACAGCTTTATGTGGCAAAAAGCTACAACAAATTGTTTTAACACAAGTAATTCAACTCTTATATACTCTTGCAATAACCAAAATAGAACTTGCCAAGCTTACCTTCAAATATTGTCGTTCTATTTCTACTTTTCTGAGTTTTGACTTATATCAAATTTCCGCAAAAAATAAATGTTTTTGAAATAAAAATCCATTGAGAGATTCTCAGATATAGGTGGTAGTGATTATGTAGGGAGAAAAAGTGTTATAAAGAAGCGGAAATCTATGGAAAGAAAGTTTTGGAAATATTTGTTGAGACTGTCCTTGACTCTTATATATATGTCCGACTCTTATATATTATATATATATATATATATATATTCCTCAAGCAAAAAATAACATTAAAATGCTGAGTTGGCATCATGTGGTTTCAACATTTCCTTTTTCCTTTTTTAACAAAATTTCTAATTTTTAATACATTCTCTTAATTTTTTTTCCTTTTTCTATAAAGTTTTTAATTTTTACTTAATTTGATTGGATTAATTAAAAATTTTATTTATTATCTACAATAAAATAATATTTAAAATTTAAATTTAGAAGCTGATAGTTGAATCTTTTATCATCTTATTGCCTAAATTTGAGCTTCTTCATTAATTCTAGGTTCATTTATATTTATTTGTAAATGTAAAGTGCGATTCTTCACGTAGGAACTCGGCGAGTTGACTTCTTCATTTTAAGTGGTACTCTTTTAGATGCAAAAACTCAATCTGCTAATCTTCATTTTAAATTATTGTTGTAGTTGTATTTTTATTCAATTTTCAGCCAATATATAGAATCCATGGTAGACTTTCCTTACTTCAGTTTATATTTTATTTCTTTTTTCAAGATATATATTATTACCATTATCATTTAGAATTTTTTTTTTGATAATATCGTATTTATATTCTCTTGATTGTTTCATCGTATCTTTTTATATTGTTTTCTCTTGCAAAGTTACACGTAAGTTCATTCTTTTTCATGGTAAATGAATTTCTTTTGGTGCCTGTTTTGCCCAACAACATGTAAGTACGTTCTTTCAATTGTATTAATTTGTTTATCTCTTTAGTTTCTCTGGTTGAAACTATCCATAACTACATTGATTAATATCCATCATTTACTTACAAATATTTTTTGGGATCATCTCACATGTATTTTCATTGAATTGCATTGGAGTATTAGCATCAGATTTCTTATTAGTGTATGGTGTATGTGTGTTTTCATTGAATTCCATTAGGTAGAAAAATATTGTTATATAGGTTGCTAATTTCTCTTTCTTGCTTCTCCTTTTGAGTTGTTCATAAATCTTCTAACTTCCTGTATTCTTGCTTAATTTGGTTAGAAATCTCATCAATAGGCCCGTTGTTGAGGAATTATTTGATAGAATTATGGTTATGTATTTATATTCGGAATATATATAAAAAGTTTTTTGAATGGAAATAATATAAAAAGTTTTTTGAATGAAATATAATATATAGTATATTATATATATATTATATATATATAATATAATTTAAATAAAAATTAGGTTAATAATTAGTAAGATATGCAAGATAATTATTTAAAAAATTATAATATATATTTTTTAAATAAAAGTTTTTACATCTATATAAACATGTGCTTTCTCTTCTGTGCCTTGCTATCGATAATTTGAAAATATATATGTTGGTCTCAAAACAATTACTAAGAAAATGGCATAAGAATTTTTTTAGAATTCTCAAAATATTAAATTTAAAAAAAATCTTATTTTAAAAAAAATAATATAAGTGCACAATTGATTAAAATTAGAAAAAAGAATTAAATAAATATATCAAAATAATGGCACATTCAATAAGTTTTTAAAATAATTAAAAATTACATTATAGAAAAATTAGAAAAAAGAATTAAATAAATATATCAAAATAATGCAACAATTCAAATAAGTTTTTAAATATTAAAAATTACATATAGAAAAATATTGATATAAATAATACAGTAATTAAAAAAGTTAATTGTTATTTGTATTCTTGATATCATATTTAAAATACATTTACAAATTATAAACTATAAAAGACATCAACTAGGCAACCCGCACAATAAGCCTAAACCTAGTTATATTATATTATATTATATATACCTAGTTTAAATTATACTACTCTGAAAACTTCTCACTCCCTACAGCTTTTAGCTTTTACAAGACGTGGAAATATCAATCAGAGTACACTTGATTTGCAATACAAATAGAATTGGCTAATAAAACTATTTCCAAAGTTATTTATATTATTTGGAAGTTATTAATTTTGAAGTATTGGAGCACTACATTTATGGGTATTTATGTTACTAAAGTTGTATTCTGCAATAACTTTTTAAGTAGTTTTTTATAGTGTTCAACAATATAGCGTTTGAACTAGTTAAGATAGCGTTTTAAGATAGCGTTTTATAAAAAGAAAACTCAAACAACTAATTTTGCCCAATGGTGTACTGGGTATTAAAAATCAACTGCACATGAATTCAGCCAAGATTTACATCTTCCAGTCTCTTGGAAGAAAAATTCATATTAACTTGACTTCGTAGTTCCAACAGCTTATATGCACTTAAAATTTGAACACTTCTAGGCAAGTTGAGAATTTCCTTTCATCTACCTTCCTACGATACACAAATTATGACAAATCTATACAACTTCCACAAGTACTATAGAGTATAGATTGAACTAACATAAAGGAGTTTACAAGAACTTGAAGGGTAAAAAAGAAAAGGCAAATAACATTTTTTTCATGGTTAGGAAGAACTCATCTTTGTGAATCTTTCGGCTTCCTGAGTGCGACCAGCCCGGGTAAGAAGTCCCGCAATAATAGAGCAATGTTCTTCAGATGCTTTAATTTTATATCTTCGAGACATTAATTCAAAGATCCGGCAAGCATCATCTGCAAATCCAGCTTGATCGCAAATTGATAGAACTACTTTGAATGTGAAATGGGTGGGAGTGAAACCACCAGAAATCATCTCATGAAAAAGATATATTGCCTCTTGCCATAGATTATTATATCCGTATGCCTCTATAATTGCAGTCCATGCCATTGAGCCCTTGACAGGAATTGCATGGAAAATTGATTTTGCATTATCAATCAATCCACTTCTCCCATACATCTTAACAAGATCTGCTGAAACAAAAGGGATTGACTCGAAATCTTTCTTAATGGCATGCCCGTGAATCTCCTTCCCAAGTTTCACAGCTTTAATTTCGGCACATATACTCAACATTCTTGACATTACAACCGAGTCTGGCCTGTGCTTTGACAACTGCATTGACCTAAACACATTCATCGCTTCATTTATACACCCATTTTCCGCATATGAATCAATAATCGCTGTCCATGAGATTACATTCCTGCTCTCCATGTTATTAAACAATTTAACAGAATAATCTAAAACCCCACATTTTGAATACATTTTCATCAAAGAAGTCGTTACAGAGACATTAGGGAAGAATAAATTCTTAACTGCATAAGCATGAATTTCCTTGCCGTGATTCAAAGCCTTCAATTCTGAACATACTGGAACAATAGTCGCAACCGTGACAACATCAGGCCTAAACCCTTCCTGCTGCATCCAAGAAACTGATCTCAATGCTTGCTCGAGCCTTCCATTTGATGCATAACCAGACATCAAAGCAGTCCAAGATATAGCATTTCTCTCCATGGAGCCATAAAAAACCCTTCTACTGGAACCCATATCCCCACACTTACAATACATATCAATTAATCCAGACTGAATTGTCAACTGTTTCGAATAACTCTTTGTTTTCACAACATACCCATGAATCTCTTTGCCTAACTTTCTCGCCCATTTGTCTCCTATCACATTGAGGATTGTGGTTACTATGACCGAATTTGGGTACATCCCTTCACTTACCATCCATCTAAAATAATCCAATGCTTCCCATTGACGCCTATTATGTGCAAATCCAGAAATCATTGCACCCCAGAAAACAATATCTCTGTCAAGCGTTTCTTCAAACACTTTATGTGCAAGCTTAATCTTACCACACTTAAAATACATATCAATCAAACTAGTCCTGAGTATTGAACTGTCAATCAATCCGTTCTTTACCAAAACAGCATGAGCCTTTAACCCTTGTCTAAGAGCCGATGCACCCGCAAAGCTCTTAATAACATTAGAGAAACTATACACATTCAATTCAACACCTAATTCTCGCATTGTTGTATAAGTAGAAAGCACATCTAGATATCTTTTACTACCCGATACTACAGTACCTCTAAGCAGCGCATTCCATGGATATACGCTACTACTACTACTAGAACATTCATCGAACACCTGTTGGGCATCTTTTAAAGAACCGCAAGCAGTGTACATGTGAACCAGTTTAGTTCTCAGAAACTCATTGTTTTCAAACCCATTGATGCGAATAAAAACATGGATTTGTTTTGCTTGATCTAAAGATTTGGATCGAATGCAAGCTGCAATAAGGGAAGAGAAAGTAGTGACATTAACTGGAATGCCTTGCTGATCTAAGTAATCCATAATGGTAAGAGCTTCCTTAAGCTTGTTTTCTCTGGCAAATTTTTGAATGTCTTCGCAAATTGCTCCTGGGTTTTTTGAATGAAGTGGTAATGAAGCTGGAAATGCATCTTTTTCTTTGAATCGTTTAAGTTTCTTTTTCTGATATTTGGGAATTCTTTTGCGGTATCTTTTGGGGTATGGAGTTGGCATGCAGGCCATGATTTTGAAGAAATGTTTATTGTTGTGGTCGCCATTATTGAAGGGATTTGGAGAGAAAGAATGGAGATTAATACAAAGAGATCGAGACAGGGTCACTTCCATTTCTAACACTAGCTAATGCTTCATCTTCGACAGCTAAACAATGACATTTGTAAACGGGGAACGCGGCCAATAACCAGATAAATTTTATAATTTGAATATAAATAATATTTGATTAATTGTAATACTTAATATTGATTTATCTAAAAAATTAAATTAATATAGTTAGCCATATAATTAATTTAATTAATATGAATTATCTAAAAAATTTAAATTAATTTATTTTTTATCTTAATAAATTAATTAACATAATATAATTAAAAAATTAACAATTATAATTAAAATTTATGTTGTACATGCAAGTGAAATAATCCAAAAATTAATTTTCAAATAATTTTTCATTTAAAATTTAACCGTAAATTTCAACTAATGAAATTTAATGGAAAGTAATTTTCTATGCTCCGAAAATCAATTTTAAATCGTCAAACTCAATTGAAAAATATGTAAATCAACTGAAAATTGGATTAAACCATTGAGTTGGATCAAACCCAGTTCGAATCGAACTGAAATACCCTAGAATGCATTAAATCTTTTTTTCTCTTTTTCGTTCTTTCTTCTCTCCTGGTCCGGCGACAGACCTGCCAGTTCCAAATATAAACTAAACCCAGTTCGAATCGAATTTTTTCAACACTTATGAATATAAATTTAAAATCCATAAGCATAATTTCTTGTAATATAATAAATATATAAATATCTATTATAACTTTAATTTATTCAACGTGAAAACGCATAGATTTCATAAAGGATAACTCAATAACAAAGGTTAAGTTAAAATGTTCAAATTAATACATATTTATAAATTCAAAACCATCGATTAAGTTAGAGAGATACAATATACTTTGTATATCATCTTCCTACATTTTATAATTAATTTAATTTTTTAATAAATTAGTTAGCTCAATCTCAATTATAATTTTAATAAATGTCTATATAATGATATTTCACATTTAAGTATAATGAAGAATTAGAGATTAAATTGACTCAAAATGACAAATACGATTTTTTTAATCATTTAAAATAAATTTAAGGGTTAAATTGCCTAAAAAATTAAATTAGATCTTTTTAATTATTTAAACAAGTTCAATAGCTAAATTGGTCCAAAAGGTCAAATCTAATCTTTTTGATCTTGTTAAACAAGTTTAAAGATAAAATTAGTATTTATTCCTTGTAACTAATAAAAATTACTTAAAAAAAATTTAAAGTTAGAAAATAAAAAATTATTTAAAAATATAATAATTATTATAAACTTTATAGTATTTAATTTTAAAAAAATTTAACAAGTATTTGATTTAAGAAAATTATAGAATTAGAAAAATATTTGACTATATTGAAATATTTGGTTAGAAAAATATTATCATTTTTTGATTATTATTTAAGTATATTTGATTTAAATTAGATATTTAATTACTTTTTAATTATATTTAGGAAAAGTTAATTTTTGGTAAATTATATATTGTTTCCAAATTACCGGCATTGAGCTTTACTCCAAAACTAAAATAAGAGGTAATTTAACAAATTGCAAAATAAGGTATTTTAAAATCATACAGACTACTAACGGTTCGATTTAATTCGATTTGATTCAAAAGATTTGGTTGGTTTATGAACACAGGCACAGCTGTCAGCGACAGTCCCAACTCCCAACTCCCACGTTTCCCAGTTGGCGCATCACAACTTAACTTGAAATAAACGAGAGGTTGACACCAAAAAGAGAAAACGCGCCTTTGTCTTCAACTGTCAAGGGGGCTCAGCTCTGACTCGGAGAGAAAGAGAGACACCGAAATCTAGCTACCTAGCTTCGGTGTCTCCGCCTTCTCCTACATTTATTGTATCTAATTTCTTTCACTTTCTATCCGAATTAGATTCGCCATTTGGGTGAATCCTACAAGCTTCTTATTCGTCTTTGCAATCTCTCGTCTCTACAGAGAATGTCTGCGGCTTCGCATTTTACCGGCAAATCTACTGTTACTTATGTTGATCTGAAGTTGATTTCCAGCTTAAATCGGAAAGCCACCACTAGAATTTCCATGCCTGATCGCCACCAGGTACCAATTTATTTTATTTTACTTTTTAAAATTTAATTGGTTAGTTTTGTTTTGTTGAATTGTGTTTTTTTTTTTTTTTTTTTTTTTTTTTTTTTAAAATTTAATGGTTAGTTTTTGTTTGGTTGAATTGTGGTTTTTTTTTTTTTTTTTTTTTTTTTTTTTTTTTTTTTTTTTTTTTTTTTTTAAAAAAAATAGGTGCTATGATTTTTATTTTTTCTAATTTTAGAGCAGCACATTTTGGTCAGCTGTTGGTCAATCAAGCAAAGCTACTAAAAATGGAAGTATACGCATGGCATTGGTAGACGAGAGGCTAGCGCCTGGTAGAAATGTGGCTGACCGCTCTGATGTCTTGGTAAATGAAAATTTTCTTCTCATAGGCATGTGTATTTAGATAAGAATTTTAACAATTTATTTTTATATGAAGTATAATTGAGCTTTTCAAAAATTGAACAAAGAAGATAGCAATTTGTAACGAAGTAAAAGTAGAGCATAGAGAATGATCTGACGCTTTAAAGTTTCTTGTGTGTTTTTGTTGCAGGCTTTTGATCTTGTTCAAGGAGAACTTGTAAGTTTCATAAATTTTCTCGGAATCATGTAATGGGGTTGGTTTTGTGTTCTTTCTCTTCCACATTCTAATATATTAGGGCAAATAGTTTTCTTTGGTTATGAGTCTTGAAAAATTTTATTAAATGTTGGGTTTAAGTGTCTCAATGTAGCAACACTTATTGGTGCTTTTGCTGCTGAATTTTGTTATGATGGTTAGTTTATATTTTTGGTGACAGAATGCATTTGTCAAAATACCATATTAAATTTGTAGAATGCTAAGATAATTAGTGCTGTCTTCAAATCACATAAGAGGAAAAAAATTGGAGATGCGAGATGTTTCCTTGTGGTTCCAATTTTATGCCCGATGACAATGATAGCAGTGAAATTTTAGGAAACTAAAATGTTTGTCATGTCTAACAGGAGAAAAGTTGTGTTTTCCATTCTAATCATTGGAGAACCTTATTTGTTGATAGGCTACTGAATCTCTTGGTAAAATTAGCTTTTCTTTTATAATGGATGGAACTTCTTATGCAAAATGATCTAGTGCAGGTAAAGTGGAGTACTGCAATGGACAAGTCAATGCCAGATCCACCAACTGCTGTACTTCTGCATGGCATTCTAGGGAGCCGAAAGAACTGGGGTAGGTATTGTTAAGTGTTTCAGGCTAGTTATAAGTTTATATGCCATGTTGATTTGTTTGAAACAAAATATTCATTATAAAAACTCTCTCAGTGCCAAAATCTATGACTTTATACAATCTAGATATTTTTTTAAGCATAATGTTGTTTTTCAGCATGCTCACTCTCGAAATCTTTTACCTTAAAGCATAATGTTGTTTTTCAGCATGCTCGCTCTCTGTTTTTTTACCTTAACTAATATCTCTTCAAAATGAGCTCCTCAGTCATTCTTCTGTTTGACATGTTACAGGAACATTTACTCGGAGATTAGCACAGGAATTTCCAATGTGGCAGGTAGTGTTAATAACTTCTAAGATCATGTTGTTGCAATTTAATCGTTTATGACAAAATATAAAAATGCTTGGTTGAGCTAACAGGACTGTGTAATTCTCTCCCTCAAGGTTTTGGTTCCAATAAGATTTATATGTATCAATCTGCTCTTTTGATGTGAAACACATTTTTCCTGCATTCCAAATCAAAATAGTACTAATCATCCACCAAAAGAAGTGGGAAAAGAATACAAATGATATGTAGCAATGTTGTGGTTGCTTTAGAAGTTTGCTTTTGAACTTCTGAAGATATTTTGTTTAAAATTTGTCCTTGTGTTAGTTTGACGTTTGCTTGCAATTAAGTTGGCTTGAGATCATGTTGATTTCTGACATTGTTTCATAAAAATGTTTTAACAGTCCAACTATGTATTCTGCAGTTTCTTTTAGTAGACTTACGATGCCATGGTGATTCAGCATCAGTGAAGAAGAGGGGCCCCCACACTGTTGCCTCAACAGCTTTTGATGTCTTAAAGCTGGTGTGTAACTTAACAATTTTTATGCTTGAATATGTTGATTATTTTGCATTAGATAAACACGAGCTCTGAGATGTCCTGAAGAATATATTACTCCAATCTATGTGGTTATGCACGTTGTGTTCTTCATATACAATTTCATTTTTGTTGGCGGTTAACAGTGTGTGGTCTCATTATTTGTGTATCTCAGTTTTTGGGTTTAAACACTGCATGTGGTGTTGGTTAAACCCTGGGCCTAATTGTCCTTTGATGGTTTCCATTAAAACTCTTGAAATAATTGTTTACGTACAAGAATAATAAAGGTGAAGATCTCCGTCATAGGACCATCAAGTGTTCTCAAACGGAGTATGCTTAAATCCCTTATTAGAGAATCTGCGCATTTGAGTAACGGGTTTCTTAAGAAATATGGATTTGGGACTTGTTCTCCAGTGTTCTTTTCTAATTTTCTCTCCCTGTTTTCTTGTTGGAATAGGTGGCAAAGCTTAGATTAACTCCCCGGGTTCTTATTGGCCACAGCTTTGGAGGAAAAGGTACTTCTTGTTGGGCAAACTTGTGATAGTTAAATATGTTTCAGATGATTAAGGTAATTAATGCACTTCCCAATTATCCATGCAGTTGCCTTGAGTATGGTGGAACAAGCTGCAAAGCCTCTTGCACGACCAGTTCGAGTAAGTTTGTTGTGCCAGATACTGTTTAAAAAGCTCTTAGAATTTGAGATTATGTTGAAATGTCAGTTCTGTAGGCAGTAATTACTTCTAAATTTACGGCAAGTCATGTGTACCGTGCTCTAACTTTGACATATCAGTAAATTAAGATCATTGGAAACCTCATGCATGCAAACATTGTTTCCAGTACTAACTAGGGTCTTAACTGACTACCTCATGCATGCAAACATTGTTTCCAGTACTAACTAGGGTCTTAACTGACTAGCCGTGTACTTCCTCATGCATGCAAACATTGTTTCCAGTACTAACTAGGGTCTTAACTGACTAGCCGTGTACTTCCTCATGCATGCAAACATTGTTTCCAGTACTAACTAGGGTCTTAACTGACTAGCCGTGTACTTCCCCAATAGGTGAAGCTTATATCATAACCCTAATTGTGGTCTGAGTCTGTCTTGGGGAGGGGACCCATTAGCAATATTTATGCTTTCTCTGTGTCTTAGAAATAGAAAATTGAACAAGGATAAGCAATTTTATATTTTGCTTTTGCTATCTAGGTGATGAAAACTTGCTGACATTATTTGATTTTTGTTGAACAATGACGTTGTTTTTTTTTAACTTATTAGGAATGGAAATTTATGTAGTTCTAAAATTTTAAAATTTTAGAAGGTTATTTAGCAATTTTGTATTTGCTTTTGCTATCTAACTATGCAACTTGCTGATATTTTTTTTTTTTTTTTTGAACAAAGTTTGTTTGGTGTTGGAGTGTAGTTCGAGCATGATTAAGATTTATGTTTCCTCATATTTAAGGAAAAAAAAGAATGACATTTCCTCTGGTGTTCTCTGTCTTTCCTCGTTCTTATCCTTTCCCCAACTACAGGTTTGGGTTCTAGATGCTACTCCTGGAAAGGTTCGAGCTGGTGGACATGGAGAAGACCATCCGGCAGAATTGATATCTTTCCTTAGCAAGCTGCCAAATCAGGTTTGTTACAAGTTTGATCATCCTTCTTCAGATGCATCATATGCCTTCTATTTTATGGGCCATACTGTTGCTCCCTTATTGGACTTGTATACATTGTGTTATGTTATTTATGTAGGCTTTGTGGATATTTATTTATTTGTAAGAACTTTATTTATTTTTATTTAATGAATATGTGCTCTTAGAATGTTATACAAGCCGAGCACTTTTAGACTCATTGCATTCAGTCTATTTCCTGCTTTTTTTTTTTTTGGTTTTCTGATATGTCCGTTTTCTGTTCTTGTCCTTTTCTTAGTCAATCAAATTTGACCAAACCCATCCTTATAGTTCTGCAACATTGTCCAACATAAATTTTGTTTGAGGCTTTTGGTATTTTGTCCTTTATGTTTCATATGATGCTAGATCCTAATGCCTACATGATTAAATTAACCGAATCTGCCATGCAAGATAGCATTTTATAGCCTATAAACTATTGAAAAGAATAGAATATTATTAATGAATTGAATAGCAGGTAATCACTAGAATATGAAAATAATATTTTGTAATTGTATAATTTTTTTTCTTTTATTGTTTTAGTTAAAACTCTATAGCTGCAGAATATATAAGTTAATTATATTGGTATACATATATAATCTATACATGTAACAACTCTGAAGAATTTGCGTTAAAGTATTAAAAATGTATACTTCAAGATTTATTTCTCCAAGCAAATAACACTAAAATGTAAATATTTTACTGAATCATTCCCCTCCATATACCAAGCTTTACAACATAAAATAGTCTTTGCGAGGGAGGGCTCTCACAAATTCCAGAGACTGACCGGAAGGGATTCAGCTTATATCTATGAATGTGTGCTATTTTAAATTTTCCTTGATCCCTGGATATCCATTCCAAGAACAGGTATCCATTATATCTGCATACCTAATGCATTTTGCAGAATCTCCTTACCTTGAATTTAATGGATTTAACATTGTAGTCTCTGGTTAGTGTTGTTTGGCATTATTATATTTATACCCTGTTAATTGCCATGACATTTCCTTGTTTAGTTATGTCTTAATTTGCTTCAATGCATTGGATATCCTACATTAATGCTATAGGTTTGTTTATATATGTGATATATGTTCAATCTGCAATCTCTCTCTTTCTCATTATTGCATAAGATGACAAATATCAAATACATGTTTCTTTAAGGAAGGTCTCCTCAAAGCGAGAGGTTGCGAATGCTCTTCTTCAAGCAGGATTTTCTAAGGATGTTGCAGAGGTATGAAAATATACTCTTAATTTTTATTTATTAATTGTTAGCTTGAGCTTTTTTAATTCTGCTGGGCTTCTTTTATTTTCAAATCGGGCAAAAGAAAGCCAGTTGGCTATTACTTATTGACAGTGCTTTCGCAAGTGTATGAAATCGCTACAAATAATATATGATGAGTAGAATGTCGTTCCCACGAGGATTGTATACCAAGTACCAAAATTATGTTAACCTATTATTATTTAGATGATAAATGAGGAAATTGTTTACCAAGTACCAAAATTATGTTAACCTATTATTATTTAGATGATAAATGAGGAAATTGTTTTAAGAATGTAAAAAAAAAAATAACTCAAGCAACAGTATTTGAAGAAAAGAAATCAAGGATTTTAAAAGTACTAGGGATTTTGATTTCACTTAATTCTATCTAATTTATGTTATTAGTTTGCAAATCAATTTTAATTGTTCAAGTCGAAGAAACAACCCAAGAATCACTAACAATCTTTCTCAATGTTTTGTTATAATCTAATCCAATTTAATTACCTATCTTCTAATAGTGTAATCAAACATGAATTAAATCATTAAGTTTTGTGGTTTGTTTTGTGAATTCATGACCTAAGGTCATTAACTTATGAAAAACCCCCCATGAGTCAAACCATATAGCAACCATATAGCTTCCGCATTAAGTTATTATTCTTATGTGATTCATTAACTTTTTCATGTTAAAAATCCTTCTTCCGATAGTGATTAATGAAATAACTCAATCCAGGGGAGAAATTCTGCCTGGAAGCATTAAGTTCATTAATAAATTATAGCTTGAACAAAGAAAAACAAATCTAATATTATAAATTGGAAAAGAAATTAAGCAGTATGAGAATTTAGTTAAACATAGTGCTTAAATAAAACTCAATAATACTTGTTGAATATTTCATAATCAATCAGAATAATGAAAGAAAATAACAAGATTAAGAGTTTAGAAATAAGAACTAGTTAACAATTAGCTCAAAATGGCTTCCATGAATCCTTGCACAACTTCTTGAATACTTGAACTCTTGAAGAAATGAAACTGTATACAAGACTAAGAGAATGAAATCTGGGATGAGATAGAATGGAATGGGATGGTATGGGGATGGGATGCCTTACAATGAGCCCTTCCTCTCTATAGATTTCTTGGGAAAGAAATCCACATTGTTTATGGCATTAAGTCCACCTTGTTTAGGTAATAAAGTTCTCATTAGGCCTTAAATTTCTCTCAATCATGACTTTTCCATGTGCATAGCTTAGAACTTAATTTGCATGTGAAGAAAGTATCCAAGGTGAGCTCATGAAAATGGTGGGAATTGGTTGGCAATTTTGACTCAAATAAGCTCTTGGTCTTTAGCACGGTGGGAATTGGTTGGCAATTTTGACTCAAATAAGCTCTTGGTCTTTAGCACGGGCGTGCTGGGAAGCACGGTCTGGGCGTGCCAGAACTTAGCTTTGTGGAGGGATCAGCACGGGCCGTGCTCAGAGGCACGCTTGAATAAGGTCTTGTGGCACGGGTGTGCCAAATAGCACGGCTAGGGCGTGCTAGGCTCTGGAAGTCCAGGATGAATGCAGCACGACCGTGCTTCAGCAAACAAGCCCTTGGGTTGATATCTCCTTTGTGGCACGGGCGTGCTGTCCAGCACGGCTGGGGCGTGCTAGAGTCTGACTCTCCACTTGGTTCTTCTTGATTCCAGCACGGGCGTGTTGATGTGCATGCCTTGGGCGTGCTAGAGCCTGAGTGTTTGGCTTTATTTTGCTCTTTTCTGTGCCAAAACCCTACAAATTTCCTTAACACCAAGTGAATTGTGATTCAAGGTAGCTTTGAATAAAAAGATAAACATAAATAAATAAAAACTGATTTAAAGTAATTAAAAATACTAAACATCCTAATAAAAATTGTATTGAAAATACTATAAAAATAACACTATCACTTATTCTTAATAAGTATTATGGAATTTCTATCAAATGATAAAATTATGAATAAAAAAGTCAAATTCAGTGTGTGAGTTGATTTTGTAGATAAAATGTTGCTAGAATTATTTCCAGTTAATTTTATTTGACAAAGTTAGGATTAACTTAGTTGTTAATATACGGAGTTACTGAATGGTATTGATGATATAAAAGCCAGGCATGTTCAGAGAGAGAGAGAGAGAGATAGAGAGAGAAAGAGGATGAGAGGGAGAGATATATTGAAGACACGAACAACTTGAGGGAGTTGATCTTTTTGAAAGAAATGAGATTCTTACAGAGGATACTTCTCATATCACCTCCTCAAAGAGACAGGGACTCTTGCTGAATACAAACAGATAAGTGAATGAATATTATGTAGAAATGAGATTCTTACCAAGGACACATTTGCTGATGCTCTGATACCACTCGTTAGGCATTAGCTCTGATAGTAGTTGTTGGGCATCAGTCCTAATACCAGTTGTTAGGCCTCAGGTATCACTTGCCTTAGCTCTGATACCACTCGTTGGGTCCTTTCAATCAATTAAGAGAAAATTAACGCAGCGGAAAAAATAAAATTGTGACACAAAAATTTACGTGGTTCACCCTTGATTGTTTAGGGCAACGTCCACGGGACAAACTCTGAATAATTCTTCCACTATTAGTAGTTACACAAAGAGAGTATACAAAAATAGTGGCACACAGTGTTTTCCAAAAACACACCAAAATAATTTCCTCACTATTTTTCTCTCCCCTAGTTTTTGTAAACCCTTCCTAAAACTGGATTACTCTCTCTCTACATTTGTTTTCTTCCTTTCTGTTGTGTTTTGCTTGAGGCTTTGCTACCTCTATTTATAGGAGAGGAGGACGCGTTAATAACGCGTCAATAACGCGTCCACCGATTCTTTTCAAAGAAAAACGTGTGTACTGTACACATGTTTTCCTCTTTCCTCTTTTTTTTCTTCATTCAAAGCGTGTGGGTCGCACATGTCGGAGGGACCCACAACAATTCTCCCCCTCTGGACGACATGGTGGGACTCTTCATTCCTGCTGCTTTGACACATAGCTCGAACTTCTCCTTCTACCTCAGTTGTTGACAGAGCAACACACTTCTGTAATCTTGACTGTCTCGACATGGCTCCCCCTGCAAATGTGGTTGGATATCCTGAAAATCCATTTCACTACAGTCCAATGTTCCTTTCTTGGAATGAAGATTTGGAGATGAAAGACTCAACAGACATACAGAGAGTCCCTCCAATAGAACGCAGACAAATTGGAGATGAAGAAAATGTTCCACAAGAACAAGTGCTAGAGTTAGAAAGTCTAGAAATTCCTAAATGAACCAAATGAAGATTATGGTGTTCATATTCAGCCACCAGCACCGAAAGGTTCTCAAACATTAAGAAGATCTAGTAGAGTTTGACAACCATCTACTAGATATTCAGTCAAAGAGTATGTACTGACGATTGACGGGGGAGAACGTGAAAGCTTTGAAGAAGCTATGGAAAATGAACACAAGAGGAACTGGATTTGCAAGATGAAATGAAGTCCTTGCGCATGACGATGAAACATTTGAGTCTGGTTGAAGTTGCCTAACGGTAAGAAAGCTTTGAAGAACCAAAGTGGGTTGATCAGGATCAAGCCAGGGAAAGTCAAGCAGGAAGAACACAACTCCCAACCACGATTCAAAGCTAGACTGGTTGTGAAAGGATTCAATCAAAGAAAGGGTATTGATTTTGATATTTTCACTAGTTGTGAAATGACATCCATACGGACAGTGCTCGAAACGGCCGCCAGTTTTCAACTGAAAATTGAGCAAATGGATGGAAAGACTACCTTCCTATATGGAGATTTAGGAGAAGAAATATACATGGAGCAGCCAGAGGGTTTCGTAGCAAAAGAGGATTGTGTTTGCAAACTGAAAAAGAGCCTGTACGGCTTGAAGCAGGCACTGAGACAGTGGTACAAGAAGTTTGAGTCTGTTATGGGGGAGCAAGGCTACAGAAATACTACTTCAGGCTCACAACAAATCTCCCCTGCACACTCAAGTGTGAGTCCCACTGAGAGTGCAACGCATTTTTGCAATTTTGATTGCCAAGAAACTACTACTCCTACAAAGGTCATCAGATATCCAGAATGATTTGCGCGAATCAACATCACCACCCATCATCACCACCCATTTCCTTCGTCCCCACTTGAGTGTGCAGGGGGAGATTTGTTGTGGCGGTGCCCACTCAGTGGGACCCACATTTGAAAATTAAAAAAAAGGAGGAAGATAAGAAAACGTGGTGGGTCCCTCCGACATATGGGACCCACACAACTTGAAAATAAAAGAAGAGAAGACAATTTTTTTTTGGTGGATGCGATTTGTTTGTCGGTGAACGCGTGATTAACGCGTCCACCTCTCCTATAAATAGGAGATGATTTAGTTCATTTCATCACACCAACAAGAAGAATAAAAATAGAAGAGAAAGAAAAATCTGTGTTTGAGAGGGAGAGAGTTATCTAGTTTTAGGAAGGGTCTAACACTAGGGTAGGGAAAAATAGTGAGGATAATTTGGGTGTTTTTGGGAAACACTTTTGAGTACCACTATTTTGTATTACTCTCTTTGTATACCTACTATTTTATATTGTATTGCTTTCTTTGTGTACTTACTATTTTTTTAGTGGAAGAAATATTTGGAAGTCCCGTGGACGTAGTCCTAAACAGTTAAGGGTGAACCACGTAAATTTTTGTATGTCATATTTTTATTTTTCCATTGCATACTTATTCTCATAATTTTTATCACCGGTCCCTAACAAGTGGTATCAGAGTTGAAGGTTTAAACATATCCAGCCAGCAGTACCGGATCCGTGGATATATTTTGAAAATAAATATACCACAACGACGAGAAAATTACGACGAATCCATTGGTGCAGTCCGTTAAAAAAAAGACGTTGCAGAATCAACCTAGTGATGAATAATAAAATAGTAACTCAAAATTGATGGTGAATAGTACTATTGTCATTACTGTTGCTGAACTCATCACTCTTAAGCC